TATTAGATTGCTTCTTTTCAAGAATAATTTTATATTTACAAGATTAAAAAAATATGTGAATCAACTATAATAAAATATTTATTATTTACCATTTTATATATAAATTTGAAAATATTTTTTCATTTGTTCTCGCCACATAAATTCAATAAAATTGGTTGAAAGCATCTTTTCCTCTTACATACCGTAATTTCCCATGTATAATACACATTTTTTTCTAAAAAAAAATGAGCAAAATTATGGGTTAGTATTATGCACAGCTAACAAAACATCTTTAAAGAATTGTCGTTTCATAGGCCGCTTTCAGTTGCGAAATGACGACTCACCACAAACATACGACAATTTAACACTAACATTCGGTTAATGCGACCCCATAACGATGTCAAATACAATCATATGAACCTAACAATACTTAAAAATGTAAAATAAAATAAGAATTATCATAAAAGTAAATTAGAATAATATTAATCTTTGTTTAAAACCATTTTTTTGCGAAAAACTACAAAGAGTTCTGGTAGATTGCACATTTTATCGAACAAAAACAGGTTAATGAGTCTGCGCAGTAGGCACAATATAGGTATTTCTGTTCGTGATGATCGGAAATTTTGATAAAAATCTTCAATTACAGCTTGAATAAAAATAGGAAACGCTGGCAATAATGAAATTGGAGAGGTACAATTTATAGGGTTTGATTACCAAACAAGGGGTGCATATTATGCGTGATTAGAAGCATTTTCCCACAATTTAAGCACAATTTTAGTGGTGCGTGTTATGGATGAAGGCGTATTATTCATGGGAAATTACGTTTTTTTGTTAATTGAGTAATTTCTTTCGTCTAAATTAAATAATTGTCGGACTTAATTCAATTCATTATACGTTGTCATTGTTTACGTTAAGATACGTTTCGTGAGCAGAAATAGTCGATCGAGTAATATTAATAAACAGTAATACGGGTTTTGCTAACCAGACGTTTCTCTGTTACTGAATTGTACAGCACGTCAGGTCAAATGCTGTTTTCTGTGTAGGAATATAGATGCGATTCCTGTCGGAGAAAATGTATTTTCTATGAAATTTGTCGACACACATTCGCAGATTTTTCTTTAGATCATATGTACTTGTTATTCGCGGAAACCCCGAATGTTCGCGTGTTTTTTTGAAGAACATATGTAAAAATTATTCGCTGAGAACTCCCTCGATTCACGTATTTTTTCAATAGAACATATTTAATATATTCTTGTATTACTTTCCTGTTATTTGAGTGACTTTAAACATATAACAGTCCATTTTATGGTAAAAATTGGCAGAATTGTGCATCATTGTAAATAAGAAACGCAAAATCATGCGTATTGCTTGAGCTTTTTTCTTTGTTAGGGGTTGCCGCTGGGATCTTAAAAGTAGCTTATACTAAGTCTTGGTGAGGGCATCATCACAGTTCTGTTTTTAGAAAATGTTTTAACTTTACATTTTATATCTTGTTACACATATTTTATACAATATTTTCAATGCTTGTATCGATCTATGGGTAATTAAAAACGGTTATTGTACTTATGAATAAAAGGGTCTGAAATGTTTCTAAGGTGTTTAAGATGAAAGTTTAAGGGATATGTGGTTTTAACAATCGAAATAGGTACATATAAGCACTTTTAGGAGGGTTACAATATCCGAGGATTTTATTTGAAGGCGGTTCTTGTCCCTAACCCGCGAATATATAGTATATGCGTGATTACACATCTACAAAAATATTTTTATGAATGCATACTGTATATGCACTGTATGTATTAACTCGCACATACACTCATTCTCACATAGACTCACTAGAAAAAATTCACTCTTAATAATTCATTTTTGAGTTGTCATCTTAAAAATTAAATTGTTCCACGTAGAGCGTTCGTCCAACTTTGGGATTCACCCGACTAGGCATTAATGATCTCGTGACCAACGAAGCGGGGTGCTTATTAATAATGGAGAAGAGAGACAAATTTATCCAGCATTATATCTTTTTATAAACCAACTAGCAGTAGAGCCCGGCGTTACCCGGGGATGTAACAGTAAGAGATAGATCAAGTATCGACCATCATAAAGACTGAAAAATAAAATTGACAAAGATTATTGTTTAAGGTTGACGGACACGCATGTCTTAATTTTTTTTTTTTTTTTTTTTTTACGAATTGGTCAAACCCAAATTCAAACAAAAACATTGTTTACAATCGTTATGAGTCTATCGATTGGTGAATAGAATTTTATTATAAACAATTGTCTTGTAAATGGAATTTTTAAAGCATTCTGAATGTAAATAAAGAAAAAAGTGTGCAAGACAATAAGAAATACTACCTGCCGAAAAAAAGTGGATGTTTGTTTTATCGGCTGAAAAATGAAGAAACCGATCCCATATATAAAGGAACACACACACACACACACACACACACACACACACACACACACACACACACACACACCTGGTTTTTTTTTTTTTACCTAAGTCACTCCACGGAATCGCTAAAACATGGAGCATAGTCTGATGAAAAAAACGCCAAAGTTTATGAAAACAAAATTTTATCGTCAAAATGCTTATTTTTTATGAAGAGGATAGACTAAATTTTTTTTAATTATTTTAAAAAATTTTTCCATCTTTTTAGAATATTCTAAATTTTGATTTAAAAAACTTGTTTCTCTTTGTCGCAACAAGGGGTAGTAAATAACATAGATAATTTTTAGCGCATTTTTTTTGTATTTACACACATTAATTTGGAAAATCTTGCAAAAATAAAAATAATTGTCAGATGTTAATGAAACTTTCAGAAACTATTCACAGATGATCGAAATTATTATAAATATATTTTTTTTTATTAAAGTCATGGCAGAAATATTTTTTTTATATTTATTAACACCCCATAACTAATTTTATGAAAAACTCTAGAAATTCGAGACCATCGGTTTTAGTGATTACAATAGTTAAAAGCACAAGGCTTTGAAGAATGCAAATCATGTTTTTTTTTTTGTTGGCCAACGTACCTGAAAATCAGCTGTGAATTGTAACATACAAAAACTCAATAAAACAAATATATTATTTAGTTTCAAATGCTTTTATTTGTTTTAATTTGTTTTTATGAATATGGACAATATTTTCTGAAAGCAAAAATTTTTTCAATGAAAATTGAATTTTTAATACAATTATTTCTTATTTCTTTAATTTTAAAAAGATTTAAAAAAAATGTTTAAATTGAATTTTAAAAAAATATTTTAACATTAGTTAAAAGCAACATCAACCTTTCAAAATGTCCGTGTGAGATTGTCATTGTCTAGCGCTTTGAAAATTGTATAACTTGGAACAATCAGATTAGCCATGGTAATTAAGAAATGTAATTTTTGTGTTTATAGTCGGACAGTAATTATCAAGTACGGAAGACCAACCAGAATACAATTTAGTTTCATTATTTGAGTTCAGCATTGTTCTCCGCTGTTAAGCCCTTTACTTTTGCGAAACACGTATGGAGAAGTTAATTTGAGTTTTCAATTTCAACTAAGAAGGGTACCTACAAGTAACAGTATCATCTTATGAAATTTAACTACTGCTAAACTTTAATTTATATGATCTTTTTTTTATATTAATCTCAGTTATGGCATTTTTCCATAAATGAAATATCAAAATTAATAATAAAATGAATGGAAATACAAATAACACAGTAAATGTAATAAATGTACATAAAAATTATATTATTTTATGTACACTTTGATAAAATTTCATAAGAAAGGTACCTAAATTAATTAGACACCTTTTTCTTATGAAATTTAATCTCACTATTAACAGTCTTATTTTTAATTTCTTTATATTTTCCATAAAGCATTGTAAACGTAAAAATGAAAGCTAAGTACAAAAAAAAAAAAAAAAAAAAAAAAAAAAAAAAATTAGAGCGCTGAAAGTTTTCCTTCAAAGTAACAAGGTAAATAATTTGTTCACTTAAATAATTTCACTTCCTTCCATCCGTAGAAAGAATTCTCCTCCCGTAAGTTATCTAAACGTCATGAATGTGCCTTTTCGTCAATCGTCAAGCGACGCGAAAGGTTATGACTTGCTTTGTTTTATTTTCAAATTACATTTTTTTCGGCGCAGAAGCTAAGTTAAGCTTGGTTCAAAATATTTTAAATAAACAGTATAATATCTGTTTTTATTAAAATCAGTTTTGAAAAAATGATAATTGACTTTTAAAAGAATATCAAAGTAAGATTTTAATCTTTTTTATCAAATCGAAAAGAATGATTGAAAATGATTATCTGCCCTTTTTTTTGACCAAAAAAAACCAATATTTTTGACGAAAATTTCAGACGTGCTAGGAACGATTAAAAAATGTAAAAAAATACCCCCCAAATACTTTGATCTTTCCTCTTTAATAATAATATGAACATTAGACGATAAAAGTTTGTTTTCGTCAAGTTCGGCGTCTTTTTCATCATGCTATGCTCTTTTGTTTACATTTTCGTGGGTGAGTTCTCCCCCTTTCATTCTCACGATGTGTCTTAATCGTGTTTTCAAATTGATTTTATTAAAAAAACACTGTATTTTTCCCATTTTCGGCCCCGTTCGAACCACCACAAGGTAATTTTATGTAGTCCTGTGAAGTTTTGTTGAAATCGGCTAAAAAATGTAGGAAATTCGATCCAACATATAAACGTTACAGACACACACACAACCTGCGTTTTATAATAAGTAAGATTTCATTGCAAAGAGGAAATAAAAATAGACATAATCTTTGACTGCACGTTTATTTGTAAGACCGAATATCTGTTTGGTCAAATGTCTGTCTGTGAAATGTTGGTTTATGCAAATAATTATCGACGAACTGCCCACTTGTCCAAATGATTGTCACCTAAACACCTATTAGCCTAATGCCCGGTGGGCATTTGACCAGCTATATCTTTCTGGCAACGACTTACTAATTTGAGATTTTCTTTTATTTTTTGGAGGGTTTAATAATAATTATCCATTGATAATTTATATCTTGTAGATCCGACCGGGTATCGACGTGACCTGAAGAATAAACCGATAAATAGAGGCTTATTGACTGTTACTGGCGTATTTTACTATCATCATCCACTAATTACAAGATGTGATAAAATAAAAATGTATAACTATTAGATTAATGTAGTGTCATAGTTGTCGGTTCGGTATAAGCGTTCGGGGAGCCGAGAAAGAATTCCGTGTTCGTCCTTTGTTTACGCGCAAGGCTATCGCAGAAAGTAATGGCAACCTACTGCGAGAAAAAAAAATTGCTTTTTAAGTCATGTATCGAAAAAATAAAAATGCATGATCGCATCAAACGGCTATCACATGACTAAATATTATCCATGAATTTACATAGCTTCATTATTCAGTCAACAAATAATTTTACCTGACTTTCTATGACTTTATCCTGTAGTGAACAAAACAAGATCTAGATTTAAAATTCAAATGCTAAGCACTGACTCATTGATTTTGTTAGAAATTAAAAAGACTCGAATTTACAAACTTTGCTTAACACACGCGCAAAAGCGAATCCAAAACAGAACTCGTGAAGTATCTGTCTATATTTCTGAGATGACGTATTATCTGTATTATTTACATTATTCGGACTATTGTCCTCATCTTTGTCGCCATATTTATTACAACGTTTCGGTCGTTGTACGCTCCGGCCTTCTTCAGGTGGTCCTCAAGGACACATGACACAGTGGATAAAGGCGTTAGTTAGATACAGTGACAGAATCCAAAGAGTGTGAGTTCAATACCCGGTTATGGCAGTGGAGAACTTTCAGAGGGAAATTAACAGGAGATAATTGATAACTGACATCCATTAAACATGGCACGTGGAACTAGAACAGTCTACCCCAGTGAGCGAAATAAAGGGTTCAGTTCGACATTCCAACCACCTGAAGTAGGCCGGAGCGTACAACGGCTTAAACTTTGTAAAAAATATAGCGACAAAGATGAGGACAATAGTCCGAACAATATAAAAACTCGTGAAATTTCACGAGTTTTGTTTTGGATTCGCTTTTGCGTGAGCATTAAGCAAAGTTTGTAAATTCGAGTCATTTTAATTTTTAAAATAAATCAATGAGTCAGTGCTTAGCATTTGAATTTTAAATCTAGATCTTGTTTTATTCACTACATAATGGTCCCCGTTAAAATAACGGAGTGTAATTCTGTGCATTTTTTTTGTTTCAGTAGTAAAAATGTGTTGTTTTTTACCTGCCTTTCTATAACCTTATGCCACGTTTCATGTATATTGTGTATTTCATAAAAAAATAACTTCTGTAATTAAATCTTGGACGAAATATTTTCATAACTTGAATTTGTTGAGATTACTGACTAGACAAAGGAACATGAAATTGAAAGTAAAAAGCGTGGGAAATAATTTGCATGTAGAAAAAATGGTGAGTCACATTTCCATCATAAAAGATGAGGGTAGTTGTCATGCAATGTTAGGCTGCAAAAAAAAAAAAAAAAAAGAAAAAAAATGTTATTTTCTGTTTCAATGAATCATTCAAACAATTAGACAATTTTTGTTTATAATGTATCCCGGTAACTCTTATCCAGGTTCTAACAATGCATAAGGAATTCTCTCAAAGACAAAGAACTTTTACTGAGATTATTCTCTTGAGATTGATATATTAAAAAACTAGTAAGCACGGTGGAGTAATGGATAGCAGCTCGGATTGAGGAATCGAAGAGCCGAGTTCGATATTCCAGTCGAATCCATTAATAGCCTTGGGAAAGGTATGAATCCTCTTCTCCCCCCAGCTATGCGTAAATAGCAGGACAGACCGGATTCTATAGCCTTGTATGGCGACTGGTCTACCGCAGAAAGGAAAGATAACCTACTGCGAGAAAAAAAAAAATCTGCCTTGTCAGTCATGTATCGAATGATACATGATCGCCTAAGCGTGTATCACGTATGGCACATAACTGACTGAGTATAACCGTTATTTCACCCGGCTTTTCATTACTGGGAATTTTTGCCGTTCAATTGGAGCACTTTAAGTTTAAAGTCAACCCACCCAAAAATCAATATTACTAACAATATTTGTTTGGGTGCAACTGCAGCATATCCCCAAATGGGGGGAGGGGGGTAAAAATTTGAATGGGGGAGGTGGCCCTGATAAGGAAACTGTATAAATAATAAGTAATATTATTGTAATAATTTAGAGTATTTATTTTTATTAAAGTTTTTATGAAATATATCCAAGAACAGATAGTAAATAGTAAAACGTTGCCGAGAGTTATAATGAACAGGAAGTAGTGGAGAGTCATTCTCGCCAACAATTTGGTCTCAAAAACGACACTGAAGCATTATCTATCAAACAAAAAAAATTTCATGAAAATCGGATGAAAACTGTGGAAATGCATAAACAACATCCGATCACACACACACACACACACACACACACACACACACACACACACACACACACACACACACATTTTGAGAATTATAGAATTAGATATCCTGATCTAACCAGAATTTTCTTCGTTTTGGATCCTCAGAATAAACCCTTTTTTCATTGCCAGCGACTACCTTGTCCAAACTGACATTTTTCCTTGCAGAACTTAAAGAGAAATATAATTGCTTAAAATGTCAACTGATTTTTTTCATGAAGTTACCCATTCCTTTGCTTTTGAATTTTCTTTTCTTATCAACCTAATGAATAATCGAAAATAAGGGTTAACGAGAAAAAAAAGTGAGTAATTCCTTAGAATTTTTTAATGCAATTCACCGGAATTGATTAGTTCGAGGCTAAAAAATATCTAATACAGATATTTATTTTCGTTTTTATTTCACGAACGTCTCTCGAAGAAATTAATTTACTATATTTTTTACCTATTCTTCAAAGCAAAAGAAAAATTGTTCGGCTTTTTCTAAATTTTTGGTTGGCAGTGTTTAGTAATAGACACTCATTTTTCTCTTTATAGACTTTGGTATTTCATGATCATTATATATATATATATATATATATATATATATATATATATATATATATATATATATATATAGGTAAAAATCCGTGGGTAAATAATCCAAGTGAATCCTAATAATAAAAATATTAAAACTGATCCACAAAGAAAGCTCAATATATTTATTATAGAACATATATAGATAATTTACATTTAATAAAACTCAATACCACATATGAATGGCCATTTCAATTATCGAGGCTTTTTAACACAAAAAAAGCCTCGTTGAAAATACAAAAAAAGCCTGTCAGTATCTGTCTATATTTCTGAGATGAGGTATTATATACACTATTTACATTGTTCGGACTATCGTTCTCAGCATATTTATCACAACGTTTCGGCAGTTGTATGCTCCGGTCATCTTCAGGTGGTTGGAATGTCGAATTGAACCCTTTATTTTGTTCGCAGGGGTAGATTGTTCTAATTCCATGTGACATGGTTATCAGTTATCTCCTGTTAATTCCCTTCTCCAAGTTCTCCACTGCCTTATGTTATTGAACTCTCACTCACTGATCCAACTAACGCATTTATCCACTGCTCATATTGCAAGCATAGAAATGAATACAATATGGGAACCAGTAATAAGGAGTGCCAGAGAAAAGCGATAATAACAACAGAAATTACAATATGAGCTCTGGTAAAAAAACATGCAATGATAACAGCAAAAATTGCAATATGAGTACTGGTAAAAATGGTTGCTGAAGATATTAGGTTTATAATACTCAGAAATTCATACACATATGTCCTCAAGGTCACATGGGACAATGGATAAAGGCGTTAGTTAGATCCGGTGACAGGGCACAAAGAGTGAGAGTTCAATACCTGGTTAAGGCGGCGGAGAATTTTGAGAGCGGAATTGACATTAGACATGGCACGTGAAACTAGAACAGTCTACCTCAGTGAGCGAAATAAAGGGTTCATTTCGACAGAAGAAGGCCGGAGCGTATAACGGCCGCCGACAAAGATGAGGACAATAGTCTGAATAATGTCAATAGTGTACATAATACCTCATCTCAGATATATAGACAGCTAGATTCACCTACGAATTCTGAGATTAAAAATTCCCAATTCTAGTTTATAGCAATTTACACGCGGTATTTACTCTGTCCCCCAACTTGGACGAGATGGGACTCAAGGTTTATTTTTAGGTGGGGACCCGAGCGCGTACGCCCGGAACAAGAACAAAAATTCTCCTCAGCCCCAGCAAGCGGTCCAGCTGGTCGATCAGAAAAAGCGTCCTATTGGAATGGAGCAAAAACAGCATCATGTTTAGATGTAACAAAGTCTATCTTCTTCAATTACTTCAAAGTACTTTCATTAAAAAACAATTTGAATTAATGCAGTTACTGATATAACAGAAGTAGTCTATTTAATTCCATCGAAGTTAGCCGAGGACATGAAGGGGTAAACAGGCAAAATGAAGACCCATTTCAGTGAACAATTATTTTGGAGTTTTTGAAATTCAATTTGTCAGTGTGCTTAAAGAGGAATACATTTATGAAGCAATTGTTAAGTTTGATGAAAATTGGTTGAAAGATCAAAAACGAAACCAGTAAAAGTCGCTATTTTTCGCTATTTACGGAGGTTTTCACTCTATGGGTGGACAATTATCAAATTAAATGACTGTTAAGCAATCATCTTTTTGTTGGCTACAATTGAATGAAGTTTGTATTAGATTGCTTGAAATTGAGGGAGTTTTTAGTTTAAAATTTGTGCTGAAATCCATTTTTCGTTTTTTGTGGTTTTTCGCTAAACACAGTGGCGTATAAATAAAATTGAGGCATCGTTGAGCTCATCATGATGTAAGTAACCTACATACCGAGATTGAACGAAATCAGGGGGAAAAAGTTGAAATTATCGATTTTTGATCGGCTTTACTGATTATCTCTTACATTGTACAATGGATGTGCAAAGGTTGGTCAAAATCAGTCGCATGGATCTCAAATGAAAAGGTATCACACAGACAAACACATACACAGACATCCTCTGGTTTATAGCTATAGATTGTGAGTTGATTGCATGGAACGAAATTCAAACGTTCAAATCTATACAGGAGACAACTGCATATTAAGGAGAATGTAATTAAAAAGTTACGTCCCTTGACAATTCATTCGATCTAGTGCAATTTGACGAATAAGTATAATTTAATAAATTAAAGCACACTCCGCGTCGGCAAAAGACGGAAAGGAACTGTTTCCAGATGGAAGGATTCCGAAGGTCATTCTATATGGGAATCCGGCCACCGGCAAGAGGGCACAAGGGAAACCCCATCTTCGCTTCAAAGACGTCAGCAAAAGTGACATGAGGGCGATGGGCATCGAGAAGTGGGAAGACGTCACCAACGATCGCTCACGCTGGAGACTCAATTTACGCCGAGGGCTGGAGTGAGGAGAAAAGAAACGGAGGCTTGCCACCAGGGTGAAGCGTGGTCGTAGGAAAGAAAACAACTGAGCGACATCGGAGGAGAGCGTCTTCACTTGCATTGGCGGCAATCGACACTGGAGTGACAGTGTCGATTGCCGCCAATGCTTATACGGCCATAACATATGTTGCGCAGTCATCAGCAGCCGAAGCATAACTTTTTGGACGCAGATCCATAATCCCTTGAGATACCGGCAGATGAGTAGGACTGTTATAACTCTAAGTAAATAATGTTTTATATCATCTTTCTGTCGGATTCTGATCCATATTTTATTGACCCCAAACTCACAACTAATTATAATTAATTATAAACCCCCTAACGTTTATATATACAAAAATACACATAAAAACACGAACAAGCAAGACATGGAAACAAAAAAACGAGTAATGTTTAGCATCGGGTTATGTCGAGAAAATAAGAGACAGTAATAGTGGGTAAAATTGTGAGTTTGGGTTCAAATGTAGATAAAATATGGATCAGAATCCGACAGAAAGATGAGATAAAAAATAAGTAAAGTGTATACAGTCTTTTTCTGGTGTTTTCTTTTTTTTTTTTTTATAGATGTGTGTAATGAGTGTCTAGATAATTTAGTTGGGAAAATGTAAGAAGTGTCTGGGGTTTTCTTACCTTAAATTTTTGTTGAGTGCCAAGAAATAAAAGTAACTATTATGGGTTGAAGAAAAAAAAAAGAGACGAAATTTTCGTTGACGTACGTGTTGAACGGCTGCCCGTGTTGATTGTCTGTTCGACAGCGAGAGAGTTACGTAGACGAATGCGCGTAGATGGGAAAAGTGGGATCGATTCTCATTTGTTTAGAACGGGTTAATCAATGCTATTTATAATTGTTATAATTATTTTATTATAATTATTTTTTGGGACACTATAATTATTTTGGATTTATTTTTTATGGACACAACAGATGCTGCATACAAATAAATTAGAAAAAATAGATAAAAACGAACTAAAACTACAATCGTTTTTAAAACTTGATTACAACCAAAAACTTCTTTTTATGTCATATCTTATCAAGCTTTTGCAGGTTATTAAAAATCAGAAAATATTTTTGGATTGTAAGAATTTTTTGAGATAATAATCATTTACTGATTACTAATTAACCCATAGCTGAAGTGTAGTCTTACATTTCTCAAGTGTATTAGCACGTAAGTGAATAAAATGAACTCAAGTGAAAGTGAAATTGGAACTCGGCTCTCCGATTAACTATTCCGAGACATTATGCTTTCCACCACCCGCAGATCCAAGCACCTGGTAATTTTTTTAAGAATTTCACCCTAAGCAAAGCGAGAGTGACACTAGCACGTAAGGGGTTACAGAGAGTGAGAGCAAGAGTAAAAGTGTTGTTTGAGGAAATGATATAGAGAAGGACAGGGATTGGGTTCAAGGCATCAGAAGATGTCGATTGACATTACATTTGAAAATTTGAAGACTAGTAGAAGAGGCAGCTACATTTAACTGTTTCGACTGTAAAAGGATGAGGTCGAGAAGACAACCGAGTATCACGCTTAAATTCATGCAGTATTCCCAAGTGATCACACATCTGACCAGGATTGACGTTGCTTAACTTCGGTGATTGTACGGGAACAAGTGTTTCAACATGATATGTCCGTAAGTCAATCCGCTCAACAAGTCCAACCTTATGTCATCTGGGAATTGTCATGACTTCTTGGTTTCACGTGGTCATTTCCACGGTTTGAAATTCAGAGTTATCCTTCTCCTAGACTGGATGCCACTCAAGGCTTGGAGAATTCAGTCTACCATACTATTTACCTCGAGAGGTTGGATACGAAAGATGAACGCAACGGACTAAATCAGGATTTGAACTGGTTCCGCCGATTACTCCTTTCACGCCGAAATAACCGTTTGACTAGCAACACAATTATTTGCTCGTATAATAAATGCCAATTTTTTTTTTTTTAAGCATTCAACCCCAAGCAAGGCGGGAAGCCACTAGCACGCAAGGGGTTAAGGAGAGTTGGAGCGAGAACAAATAGGAGTGATAGAGGAAAGGATGAAGAGAAGGTTAGGGGATCGATCAGGTCATCTGGAGACGTCGATTGACATTACATTTGAATAGTTAGAGATTATAGCTATCAGGAAAACATGAAATGGGGAGGGAGTTCTACAGACGAGAAGTGCGAGACATGAAGCTATTGGAGTAGAAGAGACGGCTACATTTAGCAGTTTCGTCAGTGAAAAGGTGAGAGCAAGATGCCAGCCTAGTTGAACGCTTAAATTCATGAAGTCTGGGAACCAGCGAAAGCAACTCATCGGAACAGTTACCGTGAAAGTATTTGTAAAAAGACAGGGGGGGACGGCATGTCTGTGAGAGAGCGACTGCAGACGAGATGCCAGATCAGGGCTAATTACATGGCATATCCATCTTTGGATTTTTTCAAGGACCTTGAGACAAATAGAAGGGGTTCCAGACTATATATGGCAGCAATACGCCATGCAAGGCCGAATGGTTGATTTGTAGATTTGACTCAATGTATTCGTTCCATCTCATGTCACACGGACAATGTGAGATGGAGTAGTCGCAATGAGGTGCTCCCGCGGAGTTGCGCATCAGGCATTCTAATGGAAGGCAGTGATGGTTCTCTGGTGAGTAATAGAGATCAGTTTTTGTTTTTGAGGCATTAAAGTTAACCAGCCAATTCCTGTCCCAGTCCACAACCGATTAGAGGTCCTTTTCAAGACAAACGGCCAGGTTACTTTTGTCGGCGACACTAGATTTTTTTCTGTGGCAGGAGTAAATGGTAGTGTCGTCCGCATAGATGCCTACTAGGGAACCTATGACATCAGGAAGATCGTTAATGAAGATAAAGAACAGAGTAGGGCCTAGGATAGAGCCTTGGGGAACACCTGCGCTCTCTATAAACCCTTGCATGCTAGTGGCATCCCGCCTTGCTTAGAGTGAAATGCTTGAAAAAAAAAGTCTCCTTCCTGAAAAATCGACCATGGTGAGATTGGAACCCAGGTTTCGTGGTCAGTATGCGAACATTCTAATCACACATGCCATAATAATAGAAATGTATTGAAAATAACAATAGAAATTAATTACAGAAATGTATTGATAATAGATATGCAGAGAAATGAACTAATAATAAAAATTAATTCATTAAACAAACGATCAAGCAATATATATATCACAAAAATGATTAGTGATCTTAGTCATTTCAACAAAAGCAAAGCAATAAAGCCATTACGAGACAAGGGGTCAATGAATGTAAGAAAAGTTGAGAAAAATATAAACATGATTAAGGAGAGAGAACAATAAAAGAACAGGAATTAAGAAGACAAAAGATAATGATTGACAATGCATTTGCATGCTTGAAGGTCAAAGTGTACTGGATAAAAAAATTTGGGAGAGTGTGTCATAATTGTGAAATGCAAGAGAAGGAACTATCAGCATAGAACGTACGGTGATATCTAGGCATTTTGATTGCAAAATGATGAGACCTTGCCACCAATCGAGTACAGCGCTTAAATACGCTTAAATTAAGTATAGTTTCATATGTCTGTCTGTCATCTCATGGTGTCCGAAACAGTGAAGCTCTCTACATAAAAAAAATGCAAAATAAAACAAAATCTTCGGTCATTTGCAAATAAATGATAATTTTTTGATGTTGATATCGATGCTAAAAGAAAAAAAAAGTAAAACTAGAAAGAAACTAAAAAGAAACTAAAAAATAAAATGTCATGGGAGACAACTAAGGAAGTTTAATTATGGAGTACTTTACCTTACTTTTTTTTTTTTTTTTTCTAGAAGTATTTCTTTCTTTGGTGATTCCTTTTTGTCGTTGTTCTTTCTTTCTCTGTTTTTCTTCTTCTTTTTTTCTTTCTGTTTTTTGAAGAAAGAGATTTCATTCTTTTTTCTTCTTTTTTCTTTTTGTTTTTGAAAGAAAGAGATTTCATTTTTTTTCTTCTTTCTTTCATCCTGTTTTTGAAAGAAAGAGATTTCATTTTTTCTTCTTTTTTATTTCTGCTTTTTGAAGAAAGAGCTTTCATTCTTTTTTCTCCTTTTTTTCTTTCAGTTTTTGGAAGAAAGACATTTCATTCTTTTTTCCTAATGTTTACTAAAGAAAGAGATTTCGTTTTTTTCTTTTTTCTTTCTGTTTTTGGAGGAAAGAGATTTCATTCTTTTTTCTTCTTTTTTTCAATCTGCTTTATGAACAAAGAGATTTCATTATTTTTTCTTATTTTTTCTTCTTTATTTTTTGAAGAAATAGATATATTTCTTTCAAATTTTGCAATAAATATATTTATTTATTTTATTCTGTCTTTATAAGAAAGAGATTTTTCTTGCATCTTTTTTTAAGAAAGAGATTTCTTTTCTTTCTGTTTTTGAAAAAAGAAATTTCTTTCTTTCTCGCTGTCTGCTTTTTGAAAAAAGTTTTTTTTCCTACTTTCATTAGGCATTTTAAAAAAAGAGATTGTTTTTATTCCTATTTTGATGAAGGAGGAGATTTCTTTCTGCCCAACTTTATTAATTTTTTTCTAAAAAAAAAAAAAGAAGAATAGGAAGAAAGAAAAAATAAAATATATTATTTCCGATTTTTTCTCTTTTTCTTTATATCGTTTTGTATTTTGAAGAAAGTGTTTGCTTTCTTTCTGCTGTGAAAGAGATTACTTTCTTTCTTTCTCGAAAGAGATTTCTTTCATTCTGTTTTTGGAGAAGGTGATTTCCTTCCTTTTGCTTTTTGAAAAAGTGGTTTCTTTATTTCTGTTTTTGTATGAAAGAGAGGGATTTCTTCCTTTCTTTTCTCTTTCTTTCTTTCTTTCTTTCTTTTCTCTTTCTTTCTTTCTTTCTTTCTTTTCTCTTTCTTTCTTTCTTTTCTCTTTCTTTCTTTCTTTCTTTCTTTTTTCTGTATGTTTTTAGAGACCGTTATTTCTTTCCTTTTGCTTTTTGAAGAAAGTTTTTTTTATTTATTTCTGTTTTTTTTGTAAGAAAGGGAGGGATTTCTTCTTTTCTTTTCTCTTTCTTTCTTACTTTCTTTCTTTTTCTTTCTTTCTGTTTTTGGAGAAGGTGATTTCTTTCCATTTGCTTTTTGAAGAAAGTGTTCCTTTATTTCTTTCTGTTTTTGAAAGAAAGGGCAGATTTCTTCCTTTTCTCTTTCTTTCTTTCTTTCTTATGTATAAATGAACTTACTTTTTCTCGGTTTTCTGATTTCTTTCTTTCAGTCTGTTTTCTTTTTTGTTTCTTTCTTTCTCTGATTTTTTATGGAAGCTATTTCTTTCTTTCTTTTTTTCTCTTTGTGCGTCTTCAGGTAAGGCATTTATTTATCTCTTTCTTAGCACAAATCAAGGTTAAAAATAGTTGTTCTTTTGAAACTAAAACAATGGGACATAATCTGAAGGAGTTAATTCAATTTTTTTCATTCAGAATTTTTTCTCGAACTGTTTGACCAAAATGGTCAAAGATTTTTCTCGTCAATAAATGAAAGGAACAAATTTAAAGGACATTAATTTCGGAGGTCATAGTTCCTTTTCCGGTCTTTAAGGACGCAAACAAAATATGACATAAGAAAATAACGTTCCATAAAAAAATAAATAACGAAATACATAAGATTTTGCAAGCATAGCAGTACTCTTAATAACCACAAGCATAGGAGTACTCTTAATAGCCACAAGCATAGGAATACTCTTAATAACCACAATCATAGGAGTACACTTAATAAGCAAGACTGGGTCTAGAAAGCTGTCGTAGCAGCGGATTTTATAAACCAATAAAGCTTAGGGTAACAAATATCAAAATAAAGCTGTAGCGGTGTATTCTGTATTGTGTTATAACAAACGAAGGAAAATGTGGCACCGCAATCTGAAGGCGCATTGGAAGTGTGAAAGATGCCTTCCAGAAACTATGCAGAACATTAGGAAACAGGGAAATTTCTTTAGAAGCAAAGAAAAGAGTGCTGGATAGGGATGTACTATAAATTCTTCTATATGGTAGTGAAAGTTAAACAATTTTTTTTCACAGGTGATAAGGAGAGTGGAAACAATAGAGATGTGGTACTACAGAAGGATGCTGAGAATACCATGGACGGAACGTGTGAATAGCAAGAAAGATTTAAGTCCAACAGAAGTAAAACGCACGCTTTTTTTCTTAGGACCATAAAATGACGGCTTGGATTTCAAGGATACATGAGGAAAGAGAACTTGGATAATTTGACACACACATCACATATTGAGAACAAGAGGTACTGAGAGAAACATCAATTAACCAACCTAACTAGTTTTTGTAAATGAAAAAACAGAATATAGATTAGGAAGGGTTGTAAGCGGGTCGAGACTCATTTCAGGGCCGATATAATTTTTACCAAATCACCACTGAAAATAAATCCGCCTGCACTGTCCATAAAAATGTCAAAGATTGTTATGAAGCATTTGTAGAGTTCCTCGTAAGTAAGTTACATTGCCTTGTGCCAACATGTTGTTGTAGATATTTAAATGTATGTGTCATTCTTTTAATTTAATTTAATTTATTTTTTGATGTTTGTTGCTTTAGTGTGTGATGTTCTTACATCTCCTTCATTGTATCGTGTGCATTTTGTTCTCCCCGTTGCTGTTAACTATCGAACTTCTGCCCCTCTCCGCAACATCCGTCGTTTAGAATGTGCTCACCTAATGTTGATCATCAATACTGAGAAACTGATGTGAAAAGAATGAACTAGGTTTTACCATCCAGAATTTCTTTATTTTGTAGTAGACATCAGAACTTTTCAGTCAGTTATGTGTCATGCGTGATACACACTTAGGCGATCATGTATCTTTCGATACATGACTGTCGAGACAGATTTTTTTCCCGCAGTAGGTTGCTATTTCTTTCTGCGGTTGACCAGTTGCCATCCAAGGCTAGAGAACCCGGTCTGTTCGGTTATTTACCCATAGCTGGGTGGAGAAGAATAAGATTCTTACCTTTCCTAAGTGTATTAACACGTAAGTGAATATCAGTCAGTTATGTGCCATGCGTGGTGCACGCTTAGGCGATCATGTATATTTCGATGCGTGACAGAAGTGACAGATTTTTTCCCGCAGTAGGTTGCCATTTCTTTCTGCGGTAGACCAGTTGCCAACCAAGGCTATAGAACCTAGGTTGTCCGGCTATTTACCCTTAGCGAAGAAGAAGAGGATTCATACATTTCCCAAAGGTATTAGCACGTAAGTGAATATCAGTCAGTTATGTGCCATGCGTCATACACGCTTAGGCGATCATGTATCTTTCGATACATGACTGACGAGGTAGAATTTTTTTCCGCGGTAAGTTGCCATTTCTTTCTACGGTAGAACAGTTGTCATCCAAGCCTATAGAACCCGGTCTGTCCTGCTATTTACCCATAGCTGGTGGGGGAGAAGAAGAGGATTCATACCTTTCCCAAGGATATTAGCACATAGGTGAATGTAAATGGATTCGACTGGAATTCGAACCGATTCCTCAATCCTCAAACTTATACTAAGTTATAACTTAATATGAACGCCCTTGTATTTTATGTATGTTTGTTATTTTTTTTTACAGATAAGGAGTAGATAAGTTCACCTACCGTCCGGCCTGCACTTTTTCCATGTATATTGAACAAGAGTAGAGGGCCTTGTTTCCTGTTCAGGATATGGTATACTGGTTCTCTGTCTTTCTTCTATCAGGTCTATCAGGTCCGCAATGATTTAACTCGCTTTACCTTTTGGTGTTCAGACTAGCCCGTGGCTGCGACTTTCCATTATGAGGGTACCAGGTTGGCTGCTTCTTGCAACTGGTCGTTAGGAGCCTGAAGACAGGCTGCTCCGAGCAACAGTTGCATATTATCGGGTTTCTGTAGAGCCATGTCGCGCATGGATAGGGCTCCCTGCATGTATTTCTGTCAACTCTGAGGTCACAATATGCTTTGCTTTCAGCCACGCACTGGCTGGTTTGTATTTTCAGTGACAATTATAGTCGCTCCCCTATTCCCAAAACTTCAGTATATTAGACGCAATAGCTGACACTACAGAAAAGGCACTTTCTCTCCATCCATCTGAGAACATCTTTGTATTCGCTGACTTTAATGCTCACCATGACACGCGACTGAAACATTCTAAAGGTACTGACATTGCCGGTATACATACATTAAATTGCCTAATAAATCACGGAAATCCTTACTTGTTTCCCTAGACAAAACGAGAAACGGGCTTCTCTACTGGATCCATTTCTTACATCCTCGCCTCGCTCTCGAAGAGTTTCACAATACTGTCCTCTTGTTATTGATATCCTGTTCCAAGCATCCATTAAACATTAACCCCCTATCCATGATATCTTTCTGTTACGAGCATGCTGATTGAGACTCATTCCAGGATTTTCTTCGTGACGCCTCTTGGACTGACAACTTCAATCTCTCAATTGAAAATTGCGCCACTGAGATTTCTTTTGGGGTCAAATCCAGCATGGACGCCTTCATCATGCCTTCAAATATGTGTAAACCGTAATCCTCTCCGTTGTTCACACCTGCATGCTCGACCGCCATAATACACAGGAACCATTATTTCTGGCTAAAGAAGCGTGTCAACTCTCGTCATAACAGGTACCTATTCGCTACTGCTCATAAAAATGTAAGCAAGTCCTCGAAGGAGCTAAGTCTCTGTTTGCTGAGAGAATGAGGCACCACATAACCTCAAACAACTTTGAATCTCGTGATTACTTGTGGCTCTGTAATAGGATATGAATTTAGTGTAAGGTCACTATTCCCCCTCCTTGGTCGATTTGAGGTGTTATCATCGTCTGCTGATAATACTGTGTGCTTTGTCTGTAAATTCTTCCCAAACTCTCTACTCTTTGATTCATCTGGAGTATCCCTGCCTAACTTTCCCCTTAGAACTGAATCTGTTGAGTGATATGTACGTCACCCCTTCCAGGGTTTCTGTTATCATCTTGACCCCCACAAAGCATGTGGACCCGATGGTATCTCTGTAACAGTCATTAAAAAGTATATTCCGAAAGTGGCACTTGTTCGCTTTGAAATGTATAATAAATGTCTCGCTGCCTCCTGCTTTTCTGTCTGCTGGAAGTCATCATCTGTTGTTCCAGTTTTTAAGAACTCTGGTGAACAGTTCGACCTATACAACTATCGAATTATTTGAGGTTCTAAGCAATGCTGAATTGATTCATCATCTCTCATCGCAAGACAAGAGATATGGCTGACGATAATTGAGGAAAGAGTCTATGATGATCGAGATAAAAACGGTGAATCATGAGCTGTAGCATTGGACATCACAAAGGGTCTGGCATTCAGGCTTTCTCGACAAACTAAAAAGTTACGGTATATCGGGGTAAATTTTTGAGATGATCCAGTCGTTCCTGTCGAATCATTAAAGTTATCGCGAACTGCCACTCGTCTAGATCCTTTCGTACTAACTCGGGTGTCCACAGGGCCCCATCCTTGGTCCTAAACTGTTTTTAATCTCCATTAACGACCTTCCCGATGACATCAGCTCTCAACGTAACATCTACTCTGACGTCATTACCATTTACTCCTGTTCCATTCGTGTGATATACGGGAGTGGAAGCACGGTAAAGGAGAATCGGGTAGATGTGTTAGGTACATAATTCCGCTCTCACCTTTAAGGAAAGATTCCTTCGAAACGACAGACTAACTGCAAACTCGATCTTCTCCCAAACTTCCGACCAATTCGTTTCCAAGAGGAGAGCCGAATCAAACAAGACGCCGAGAATTTTGAACGGCCCGTCCGCCCAGAGGAGAGTCCTAGGAAGAAAAACTCCCTTTCACGCGCCTGTGAAAGAGCTTTCTCGGCTTGTTCTTGGGATACACGGCAAACGTACTTCCCCTAGTTGATATGGAAATTTTATATTCTTCCTTTTATCAGATGATGTGTCAATTAATAGGTTATGAAGTCTTTTGAGATTTAGTTGGAGAATTTGAATGAGTTTGTGTTGGTGTAGATTTGAGACTTGGGACAGGGGTAGTTTGGAAACGTGAATGTGTTGGTGTCTTTTTGATGAAAATCATAGTAGATGGGATGTTGGAGACGGATTTTGTCAATGGTGGATGAGCAATTGATTTTTTGAATGTTGGGTGTTGTGGAGTAGCTGAACACTCCCACATAATGGACTAGTCTAAGATGAATAGCACTCTTTCTTATTGAGGGAAAGCAGTTAACGATTACGGCTGACTCTGGTTGTCGATTCTCTGTCTTCGGGCGGAGAGGATCCCAGACGAGGCTTTGTCAAAGAGCAGAGTCTCGTCTGGGAAGGTAGACAGCTATCCGACCCCGTGTATACGGGGTATGCGGGCAATTTTTGCCCGATCCTACGGAACGCCCCACGTA